TTCTCATTTTCATCTCATTCTTGCTATTTATACCTCCCCCAATAAGGAGAAAATGCTGATCATTATTATTTACAAGTCTCAAATATTTATCTAATTTTCATCTCACTAGCTAGATGGCTGTCAGGAAGCCGAGGTGTGTTTACTTCTCTGCACATTTCCTCGCAGGTCACCCCAAGTGACAGCTGAGCTCTGCTCTGGATCCCCCAGCTGCCCACCACAGCTTCAAGAATGGCACCACGAAAAAAAAGCTGAGCAAGGCCATTAAAAGAGGGCCTAATAGGAAAGTGACCCCTGAGCTTATTTTTACCTTCATCCTTTGGTGTGACCATGTTCGGAGGTGAGACAGGTACATACAGAAAAAATAACTGAGATGCTTGCTGCCTGGTTCTGTTTTTCTGACCGTCTTTCATGATTTCTGTACCTCAGTTTTCAGGGTGGAGAGAGAGCTCTATGGCTGGTCTTCAGTTGTGACAAACCCTCAATTCTGACTTGTCAAAGCCTCTGTAGTCATAAATAAGGTGGTTTTGGTAAACACAGGACACATAGGACACACAGGACACAGCAGGCTGTAGGAGGGATAATGCTGAAGAATGCTGGCACCATGAGTTCAGATTCAGTGCTGGTGCTGCTGGGTGCTCCCAGATTCACTCCAGCTCAAAACACCTCACCAGCCTGGAGCTCAGGATACCTCAGCTGCCACCACAGGCCTGGCCCTCCACAAAATGGCCTGCTACATGCTACAGCTGTGATAGCAAGCGGAGTGATGGCTCAGACCCATGAGAGAGAAGGAGGTCTGCCGCCAGTGCCAAGACACTCCAGCAGCAAGCTTTACACATTATATTGGTGGAAAAAAAAATAGAAAATGCAGTTGTAAAGAATCTCAAGATGTCATGTTAATTCCACTGCTGTTAGGCAGCACCAAGCCTATGAACCATTCCTGCAGCAGATTTGCCCAGCCTCCTCTTGCGTGTCTTCAGCAGTGGAGATGTTGCATTTCAAGCTCATTCCTTCCATTTTGATTGGCAAACCTCATAGAGAATAGTCTTCTTTTCCTCTTTGCAGCACTGTCAACAGTATTAATAAATGAAACCAAATGAGATTTAGAAATATTGTTCTTTAAGTCTTCAGATGAAAGCTCATACAGCTTAGTAACACAGAATGTATTCCCTGCAGACCACACAAGGCTACTAGTGCCATTGCTCAGGACTTTCAGGATTTGACTGGATTCACTCTGCTACACTAAAATTCCAAAGCAAGTGGAATTTGAGCTTGCAAAATGACTTCCTCCCACTCATAAATCATATCACTTTGCATATGTTTGAGTGGTCAAACATCTATTTAGTCCTTGGAATGATTTGTTCTTTCATTAATGGAGACTAGATGAAAGCTGCAGATAACAGCTCGTAGCGATTGAACATGAAGCAGAACTCCTTTATTGTACAGGATCTGCAACCTGAGCACCATGGCAATAATCTAATGATGCCAAAACTTGGATGCCCTTCAAATGCATGGGAACAATAGGTGCTGTCAGCATGACCTACATGAAGTACCAACAGCTGAGCAGCCAGAGCCCGAGGTTTCCCTATGGATGAAGGGTGAGCACAGCACCGGGAGCACACAGCAAAGGCTGTGCATGCAGAATGCTGGATGAGGAACAGCATTGTCCAGATCCAGTGCATCTGAGTGCCTCATTCTTATTTAGGCCTCCCAGAACCTCTCTGCCATCAGCACCGCTGCTAAAATGCATGCAGAGGTCAATCAGGTCCATACAGAGCAGCTATGCCAAGCAGCTCCCATGGCTTCAGTGCAACCTGCCCAGAAATAAAATAGTGTAAACATTTATACTGTCAGAAATTCTGCATTTTAAAGTTTATAGTAAATCAGCTTGTATAAGGGACGGAGGGTGGAAGTTAAACCCTGAAGCTGCTCCTCTTTAGAGCAGACAATGGAGGAACCTTCCAGGGCCAAGTTTGGTTCTCACCACAGACAATAAAATAAATTGAGTGCATTCAGCTGTACATCAGTTTCTGTAGAACAAAATGTGCAGCTTCCATCACTTGCCACCAAATCCAAAGTTATTTTAATGGTCGGTCGGATTATACAATGTAAATGCTATAAAATCCCTATGTACTTGGTATAGTATGAAACTAAAATACAGTTGGAGTGAATACATTTTGCTGGAAGGCAAAAAGTGATTTCTCAGCCTAATACTTGAGTAAATTTGGCATTTTCAGGGTGTTTGTGGGAACTGGAAAGGGTGGAGAAAATAACCCAACCAAAACACAGAGAAGTTAATTTCCTGACTACTATTTCTCTCCTTTCTGCCAAACGGTTACATTCACTGGCTACAATATTTCCTGAATAGAAATAGTGTTAATTTTGAGACTTGGAGAAAGGTTCCTCCATTGAGAAAAAAAATGTGAGATCATTACAAATCACTCACTGACTGAAATCACAAAAGAAGAAAAACAGACTTGAAAAAAGGCCCTGTTTACAATGATGAAATATTTCCAACTGGACTGTGGTATTTATTCTGGTTTAAACATATTGCTCAGTGAGTTGATGAACTGAAGGTGCACAGGCCAGGACCCACTGGGAGTCCCTCCTTCCCTACCATAGTAGTAGGCCACATATTTTTCAACAGCCTAAGTGGTTACAGCCTCTGCTAGTCCAGTTTCAACATAAAGGTACTTCCAACCCTCAATGAGGGTGTGCTCACTAGTGAGATGAGCACCAGAACTGCAGCAGGACCCTTGGATCTTTTGACACTGCATTTTTATTTCAAATATTGTAAAAAAAAGCACCGTTTCCCCTATTACTTCTTAATGTGTTTTGCCATCAAATTAGCACACTGTTCAAAGTGCTAGGTGCATTCCTGTTTGTGGGGTACAACAACTTGAGTACTTTCTCTGACAGCTTATCCAGTATTTATCTTCTCTGTTTTGATGGTAATTATCACTTACGAATGCAAGAAACCTAAGGGGAAAAGACTTCTCTTTCCTTGCCATGGAATACACTTCAAGGCTTTTTCTGGCTAGACTTCCACCCCAGATTTTTGCTCCAGCAGGGCTTGCTCTACAGCCTGTTTGAGAGCTGCCAGGGGAAAGCGTGTTGTCTTAAAGTCACCAATACAACTGAATAATCCTCCCTTCCAAAGAAAGACCTTCTTCAGAGCTTTTTCATCACACATCTGCTATTGCCAGTCCCCCAAAATAAGATTAATACAAATGTCTATCCAAGCTGTAAGACTGAAAACTGCAAGTTTACAAAAGTATGTTAAAAACACCCTCCAAGCTTAGTCTCACCATAAATACAGAATATTTGCCAACTACTTACTGAGTCATACCAGTGCACGATAGCCAAACTTTTGAGATGATGTTAGACAAGGGCTTGAGGACTGTATATTGTCAAGGCATTCTTATACAGATTAGCTCCCGGGCTGTCTCCAGGAGAAATATTAGTATCTCCAGCTAAAGATAGGGAAATAGAGGTGGAGGTTCAATCTACCCAAGGCCATACCATAAATCACTGGAACAGTGCGATTAAAACTGAATAGCCATGGGCTCAGGAGTTCTGGAGAAAGATTCAGGGTCAGGATTTTTGCTCCAGTTAGAGATTTACAACAGGGAAGATAATGATTAAAACACTTTCACTGTCATTTTTTTTTTTTTTCTAAGAGCAGTCAAGCCCCCCAGCACTGATCTGGTAGGTCTTACCAATGCTATATTAAAGGTAAAAAAAAGGCAACTAATAATACATGTAACACAAAGAATGAAAGCAAATATATGACCATCTAATTTAGATGGTCCCGGAAATACTTGTTTTTGCTCTGTCGCACTGCTGTCAAACAAAACTAATCTTGCCCACCAAAGACAGAGAAAAAATAATAGCTGTGTTACGCAAACAAAAACAAAAACACATAGATTATACAAAACAGAGGGCTGCTAAGCTGCTGCTTTCTATAAAAACCTACACAAGATTAAGGATCGCTGTCATGTTGTCATTGCTGTTCCCTGGGACCTCTTCAGTTTGTCTACAGGATTCAGTATGCAGTCTCTAAAACTAAAGCAAAGTATTCCTGGTGACACAACATCAGATGTTCAGCAACATCAGGGACACATTTTATCCCTACTAATATCAACACTCAGATAACTTTCTTTGAAAAAAAAAAAAAAAGATAGTGTATTATTGATTCACTTTGTGTTTGAGCCTACTGTCCCTAACGTATTTTCTTTTCCAATAAAACCAAGATTTATTTTATATATTTGCCTTTTGTTTCCTTCTTCTTGTATTTTATACTGAGTGCTATTTTAGTAATTTCATCATTTGTTTTATTTTCCAGAATCATTTTTAATTATGGTCATGTCCTGCAAAGAGCATTCAAACTCTTGGTGTCACACTCAAATTTTACAAATCCTACAACTTCACCCAACTCATTAATGGAAATAGTGAATAGAAGTGACAGAGAACTGACCTCAGGGACCTCCCTTGCCATATCTCCTCGCTATGATAACTAAAATTGGGTAAGTCTTTTTTGAATGCAGCTTTTCTTTTTTAATTAGTTATGCATCAACTCCTCACGATAGTTTCATCCAGACCGTATTTCTCTTCATTTATTAAAAACAACATATGAGCCAGCAACAAAAATCTTACCAACATCAACATTTGTTACACCTACGGTGCAGCCTTATTCACTTAGAACAGTTGCACTACCAGAAAGGAAATTCATTAGAGCATTCAACATCAGTGTTTTTTAAACAAAGGTTTTACCTAAAAAAATGTCATCAAGGAAGCAGAGAAATTTTCTGGGACAAACTGTCAATACTGTCAACACTTCCTGCGACACTTTAATTATTGGGGTTTTTTTTTTGAAATTATCTTAAAAATCACTGCTGGTACTTTTGTTAAATACCATAAAGCATAAATTAGGAGAATAAGGTCATTGATTTTTAGATAACTGTTAAAGATTAAAGTTAATCAATCATACTTCAGTTTAAAACATTATGAAAAAAAGCCATGAAAACAGATGCAAATTACATCCAACAAAATGGAAACAAAAAGCCACTTCGACATACTCTGTGAAATTATTTCCTTGGTGTTTGGAGAGCACTGTGATTCCACAGCTTTACACTGAATTTGGTGAAGTGCATTTCCTCCCAGAGCAGATGCTTCAGCACGTTAGGGCAGAAGCAGCAAAAACCAGTTCCATTCAAATCTTTCCAGTCAAAGAAAGTTATAATGATAGAAGCAAACCACCAGCCAACCAACCTAAACAAAAACCCCGTGCTTCAAAAAGGCCGGTACAAAACAAGGCAGCTCTATCAATATTTGCACACATTTGTCCAGGAGTGAATAAGTTCTTTGAGCTGTACGAAGAAGTGAGTCACTGGGGATGGATGGCAGGGTGTCCGCCAGAGAGAGGCGTGGGCTTTGGTGCCCAGGCGCCTGGCATGCTGCCACCCATCCCATTTCTCCATTTCATAGCTGGAATGCTAGAGCAGAGGCAGGAGGCCAGCAGGGGGTGGTGAAGGGTTCTGAGGGAGGGTGGGAGCAGCATCGTTAAGTCCTGGGTCCTCAGTGTGCCTGATCTGTGCTTCTGCACCAAGCAGCAAAGTGACAGCGTGCTGCTCGCGTGCTCCTCTGCTGGCTGTGCACAGGATCAAACGGCAAGTGTATGGGCTTGGCATGGCACAAGCAAACCCCTTGCTTCTTTCTGCCTGAACTTGTGAAATCCAATCTGACCCTGCAAAATATTCTCATGCAAGAAACTTCCAGGCACAAGGGAACTCTGCAAGAGAGGCTAACTACTGCCCAGCTGAAGTTTCAGGTACAGATACGCATGTCTTCAAATTTGGAAGCTGTGTCTTGCACTGTAGAGTCCCAAGAAAAGCTCTAAGCTTGCCTGATTCCAGGTCCACAATAAGATGGCAGTTTTCCAGAAAAAAGGATACCAAGAGTTCAAACAAATTAGGAACAGGTTTCTTCAGTGATACAGAGATAAGTTTCCAATACATATTACCACACATTCAAAAAAGGAAAACAATAATAATTAAAAAAAAAGTGATACCCCAACACATTCATGGATGTTACAGTGCTACTCCTAGCGTGGGAACCTGGCAAAGTTAGGATGACTCAGTGAAGCAACCTCAGCCTACAAAGACTGAATCTTGGCTTTGTCTGAGCCATGTGTCAACCTCAGCGTGCTACAGCACTTGATCTTTCCTCTCCATGTAAAACTTATTCCTAGAATAAGCAACTGGAGCTAAATGTTAGGCTAATCTTTTCGTGGCAGAATAAGTCTATGTGCACTTGTTGCTTAGGCAGAAAGGAATTTCAGTTTTATGAAATTCTCCTCCAATCCTCTCAGTTTTTCATAGCCAAGGAGGAACCTTCATTGGTGGTGATATGACTATCAGTTACTGGCCCTATATTGGCTCATGTCTGTTTTACTGGCATGAAAAAATGAATACTAAGTATTATCCAGAAAAAGAAGTAATAAAAGCCAAAGCTCTCCTGGTGAGCCAAGGTGAATCAGGCTTTTACTACATGATAATCTGAATTAATCTGAGGTGTTGAGCGGTGGATCTCAGTAACGGGGAGAACAGGAGGCAGGCAATGGTACTTTCAGATAGTGTTCACATGGGTTTCTGCCCCTCAACAATTTGTTCAACAATCAGAACCTGGGCATTAACAGATTTCTTCTTCCCACCTTGTGAATTCAGGCTATTCACAGACTGAATTTCAGGCAGCCAAGTCTATACCTCTTGGCATATGAACCTGATGTCAAAAAACTGCCTTCGGGGATTCTCAGCAAATGCTGGTTGCTCAAGTTTCCAAATGTGACCTGAAACCCTAAGCTATTTTGTTGCCAAAGAGTATAAGGAGCTAAATTCCAGCAATGCTGAATTCCAAGAACTGTCATCGAAGGCTTTTTCTATCTTTAAAAAAAACACAGAAAACACAAAAAACAACAACCTCGCCTGATAGAATGGAAAGAAAAAGCAGCTGCAGCCACCATTTCACTCAAGTATGTGGCAAGGAGCCTGTCAGAGCTTCCAGCCTCCTCACTTGTGCTGGTTTAAGGACTCAGCTCACACCTGGAAAGCAGTGAGCCTGAGCCCATGCCAGCTCAGAGCAGCCCTACCTCAGAGTTGTAGGAGCATTCCACCTGCATTAACAGAAAAGATGCTTTTAGACACCCTCAGAAGCAACTTGGGCCCAGTCAGGACCAGCCATGCTGCTGCTTAGCAGGGATGGGGAGGGAGTCTGGCCGGTGTCCTGGGCCACAATGCAGAGTGCGCTGAGTGCCCCTTCTGCCCTTTTCATGATGTCATCTTCTCTTTATGACATTATACCAAACTACAATGGGGATTAACCACCCCCTGTAAGCTTATTATAGGCTTATGTGGGCTGTTGGAGCTTGGCTTTAGATGGCATTTCTTTTAATGAGTCTGGGGCTGATGTCACTCCTATAGCCAAGACTGTACACTTCCGTTAAGCACTAAAACTAACGCAGAACATAAAATTAACTTGCTTCACAAAGTGTCCTTGCAAAGGTGTCAAAAATCCCCATGACATACACAGAAAAAAAAATGTTTGATGACGCAATGGCAAAAGAAACCACTTTTGTAGTGGAACTAAAGGAACATTTCCAGTCTGTGATAAACAACCACTGCCAAATGAGATGCACTAATTGCATTTACCATGCTCCTCTCACCTGCAGATGTGGATAGACTCAGAAAGGCTTAATTTGTGCACTTTAAAACAAGAAGTGAAAGCACAGAAGCAAAACCACCTATTCTTCTTAAGAAAATTTGGGAAGGCGGGAAGAAGGATTTTCTTCTATTGATACAGTCGTACAGTGCATGGAGAACCTACTTTAATCATCTCCCTCAGAACAAAACAATGAGACATAAAAAAATGGTTTGTGAGAAATTTGTACCAATTCATTCCGCAGCTCATAGAATTTCGTTGGAATCTCTTCACTGTTATTAAGTAAAATCGAATGTTTTTAGCATGGGCAAAAAACCAAAGATAAGGAGCAATCAAAGGAAAATTAAACCATTGCTGAGTGTTTCAGCTCCAGTTCAGAATTTCATGGGGCCTGCACTGACTCAGCGTACGAAAAAAGGGCTCCTTCTCTGAGCATGCCCACCGAACATCATTAACTGCCCTTCTGACTCCCGGCAGAGTAGGATCTAAGCCAATATATTCTGCAAGGATTTCCTTTTCAGCTCATACGCTGCTCTGCCTCTGCCACAGACACTGCCTGATGTTAGCAAATGCGGCTCTGGGAAAGATTTCTAGATTCAGAGAAATAAGGGCAATGTTGGGCTGATGCTTTTTTTTTTTTCTTTTTCCTTTCCAGTTATACCTGCATTTTATGTGACTTCAGGGTTTTCAAACAGCTATATCATAACAGTCTGTCGCAAGTGTATTGAGTGTTTCAGTTTGCCAGACCTGTCATAATAAATTAATTACAGGATGTTGCAGAAGTGGCTGAGTTCCAGCAGCATCTTGCAGTTTAATATAGCCCTATTTCCCCATTTCGATGTATTTGTGGTTAGATAAATCCTCAGAAAATTTACAGCTGCTACACACTAGTTTATTATGCTCCCTGCCTGTGCAGGAGATATAAGTGCAAAAAGAATGTGATGTCTTCTCAGTGCATAGATTTTACTGATATTGCTTTACCGGTGTGGAAACATTTTTCTTCTAAATGTGGCATCTGCAGTTTCTTCCGAGTATTTGCATTTGAGCATTATACAGGACTCATCAGCTTGTTTGCCACAACCAAACTGTGCAAATTAATTTGGCCTGAAAAAATCCTCACAAAAAACAACAACAACAACAAAAAAAAAAACAACACAAAACAGGTAGCTGAAATTGTAGGTGAGAACTCCGTAGCAGAGCTATCATTTTCATTTATGAGAGCCAGCTAAAATTATTTTTGCAATCTTTTAAGTCAGCGTACATTGCTGTACAAACTACAGCCATGATGTGGCTCCTAGAAGCCTGGCCAGCTCTGCTGGAGCTTTGAGTACAGCGGTGCATTGACTCTGAGCAGCTTACAGGACTGGGACTCTCAATACACGTGTAACCACTGGAGAACAGAGCGCCCTGAAGGGAAAGGCAGCAGCCAGCCAGAATGTAACAGGCACAGCATTTGCCAGAAACACTGTGTGTGAGGCATATTTCTGTATAACAGTTCATTTGTATGACACACGATGCTCCAACTAGTAGATAAATGTCGTGTGTGATGTTCTCATCACTGCTCTGCTTTACAGTGGATAAAGAGGCCAGAGGACAATAAACCGAAGTAGAGGCACACATGGCAGCAGACAACAGCTAGAAAAGTGCCCTCTAAAGATCTGTGCCAGCAGCAGAATTAGGGAACTAAAGTGCCAGCCACCCCCAACAGCATAGGCCAGATATGTGGAGCTTTCTGGATTCCAGCTCAAAGTTATGGCTGAGTCATGGATTTCTGAGAAGCCACAGGAGAATATTCATCACAGGCTCCAAGATTTCAACCAAGCTCCTGTAAATAGCACAACATTTAAATGTATCAAAAGATGAAGTGGTTAAATATCTTAATTTCTGAAGTCCAAAAAACACCCAAGCTCTGCTCTAACACGCCTGCCCTCTATCTTCTGTTCCTTCTTCTTAAGTTCCAATTTCTAATTGCCACATTCTTGCAAGTCTCACAGTAGTCTTCTTCTTAAGCTGCTTATTTCCCTCTCTCAGACCTCTGCTTGTTTCTATTCCTTACATGCAACAGTTCTTCTCCTAATGCACGTATTTATACTTCAAGCAATGTAAGTCCTTGAACTGATGCAATATGTTTTTACAAGTGCAGGTGTACATCCACATATTAGTTTGTCCAAAACATTCTATGTAGCCATAGGATAGAACACTTAGGAAAGAAACCTCAGCACAAGCCTGTACACGAATCTTTTCAGCCCTCCTTTACTGTTCAAAAACACTCCTATCCCCTCCCAAATTCACATCCATTAAATAGGCTGTACTGCACACATACTAATTTCATATGTGCTAGAAAAGGATCATTAGACCCCCCCCATCACTCTTTGTGTTTACCAAACAAGTGTTTTTGCTTTAGTCTGTTCCCGCCTTAAATGAAGTATTTCCTATTCACCTTAGTAATTAGAGCAGAAGGATGTAGTGAATGAAGTGCCTCATTATCAAGTTTGCATCCACAGACTCTGCAGAACGGCGACCATGCCGGCTATTTTTCATAGCTGTCTGCTTTTGCTTGTAATGGGCCATTGTTAACCCTAAGTGATCCTGACATTCAATTCTCCATCAGACAATTGGGTCCAGCCGGCAGATTTAGTTCACTAGTCAACAGAGACTTTCGGTTGTCATGTTCCTCTGTGTTCTCATTAGCCCTTGTTTGACTGTGATCCATCCCCTATTGCCTTCTGAATTAAGTGATGCTACAAATACACTTATTGTGTTCTACGCTGTCTGTTCCTCAAACTATTTTAAGGAAAAAACTAAATGCAATCTGAAGGCTATTGGGAAACACAGGAAAGAAGTGCCATCCCTTCGTTCCTATTTTGTTAATTTATGCGTTCATTGTTCACAATATCTCTGCCAAATTATAAAAATGTAATAGCAGCTCTATGTTGCAACCACACACACACATAAAATCAAAAAACACCAGAACAATGAAAGACCTACTGTGCTGTTATCGCCAGGCAGTTATAAATATCCACTATTTACCCTTTTTTAAACAAGGTTTTATCTGTGTTGTGCTAGCAATGAACCAGTATCACCCTGTAAAAACTCCTCCAACAGATGTTTTTAATTCTGGTATTTCATATCAGGGCTTAGTGAGCAACTCTGCAGGGCACTCATGTATTAGAGTACTGACTATAGTTCCTGAACTTACACAAACAAGGAAAAATTTCAGTAGGTATTCTGAACTTGCCGTGAATTCTTTTAAGTACTTGGACAACTGTCAGCAAATGTATACAATGTTCATGTTGAAGTGACATAAAAAAATACGTAGGTTGCATTAACATTGAAATAACATGCATTATAGAAAGTTTAATTTCAAACCATTTAAAAAACACTATCCTCTTCCAAACTGTTCAAAAGTATTACTCTCTTGCAACTTTAGAATACCAATGACAATATCTGAAGAATGAAGAAACTCCTAAAATTGAAAACAAAAAGTAAAAACTGTCTTTTCTATAATGCCCTGTCAATAATTTGTTGAGAAGCGATCTGTCTGCAAGTTCTAACCTAAATACTGAAGGAACACTTGGAGTTGGTTTTTAATTTTTAATTGCAGATCCTTACTTTTCTTCATTTTCTGTCAAACGAATGCAAAAAGCTCTAAAACAGCAGTAATCTGCTATAAAGCAATAGAAGAGTCCAGCCAAGCACGTGGTAGGGAGGAAAAAATTACAGAAACAAAAGATATTGCAATTACAAGAAAACATTATGAAAAGTTTATTTCCAACTCCACACATTTTCATGCTTGGCTCTTATCTGATTTCTTCTGCTTAATTGTTATTTGGAACCATGCCTTGGAAGACACTGCTGCTGCCTCTCCTCTCAATTTGGAAAGTGTGGCAAAGCAGCTCTATTCAGCTTCAGAGCAGTGAACATAATTGGAGCCCTAGTTCGCAAGCATGAAAGGAGGTGCTGTGCCTTTGATTAGAACTACCATCTCTCCGTGGTGTTTATCTGAAGTGTTATTTCTGTCTTCAGCATCCACAATGCCAAATTAATGTTTTACAATGCCTTCCAATGAGCTCCCAGATCTTGGCTACTGCTCAGCTCTTCCTGACGCGGAGCCTGATGTCACATGCTCTACCCTTATTTTAAGTATGAACCAGGATATTTTAGAGCAACCTAAGATGTTGAGATTTTTCTCTATTATAAATTCTTTAAATCCCTTTAAATTCAAATATATTGCAAAAAAAGCAGCAATGTAAGAAGCCAGGGACCTTGCCAAAAGCAGCAGTCCCAGGACTAAGATAATTTTATACAACTGACCACTGGAAAAGAGACATTCCTAATGTTCTAGTACACATACATGCCCCATTTAGATGAGAACTTGCTACACACATGAACTTAGACATGTAGCTAGGATTGTAAGCAAATTACTGTTACCAATGGGACTAAAAAAAAAATATCTTCTGCTCCTTTTCACTGAAAAGAAACAAGTTCACAGATTCTTCTGGCTATAAAATATGTGCAGGGAAGATATTAAAATATATAGAAACTAGTGCTCTGCATCTGGGGGCATTTCACACATCACTGCCCAACACTGTTTTTCTCACTTCTTTTTTTAATGGAATCAAGTGCCTCGTCTACTAAATAAGGGCTTTCTAATTTTATGTTATTTATTGCTTCAGAGAGGGAGGAGGAAGAATTTCCTAGCAGAGCAAAAATAAAATGGACATCATCAGCCAGAAAAAAATATCAACACTAACTGATAGAAAGTGTTTCATTTAATATAAAACATAAATTATTTAGAATTGCAGATAATTAGTGAAATTATTTGTGAAAGTGTACAACATAATACTCAAGAAAAAAAAAACCCAAAAAATGATTAATGACATACAACTGAAAAAGTAAAGCAAACAACACAATTTCAAATAAAATATTTCATTCAGACAGAAGAATGTATATTTGGCAAGACTTCTGCCAAAGCAGCCAGGAACTCTGACAAAACTGCAATGCACCTTTTACTATGTGCACAAAACCTCATTTGAAAATATAAGTGCCTAGAATCTGCAACACTTACTTGTATTGGTAAGCATGGGTAGTTCCATGAAGTCAGAGCAGTTGCATAGTTAGATACTAAACCATTCGCTTAAGTGCTGCAAAATGTGGTCCCAGTGAATATTTCCCCTCAGGAGAACACAATTCTTAAAAGCTTCTTTTTTCAGGTACAATGTCACATCAGCATTCCTTTGAAATTTCACCATTCTGAAACCTGCTCAATTTTACAACAAAACCATAAAATGCTTATTCAAGAACTTCAGTTGCGGTCAGGCTTGTTCTGTTCTAGATCACACTTAGGACTCTATTCTCTGCTTGCAGTAGACTGATCTGCAGTCCACAGAAATGTCTGGTCAGCCTGACTTAGAATACAATCACATGGTTAACACTACATTTGCCAGTGGAGTTCTCATGAAATATGAAAGTCCATTTCAGATTTTACCAGTACAGTGAGGAGCTGAGCATTCAAGTTCTGTTAATTTCAAGGAACCCTGAGCAAAATTGTTCTGAACAGGCTTACACCACTGGGAACTCACAACCAGCACCATTTTGTGCATTTGATTAATTTCTTTGTTGTTGTTGATTTCTTGTCAATCCTAGAAGTGAAGCTGCAGTTGCAGCATTCAAATGTAAGAGTATACTGCACGTCACACCAGTATCTGGAATTAAATGATGACTACACATCATAGCATTCAGGCTCAAAAGCAGTATTTGTCTTTCCACTTGTGATTAAGTTTGAGCCTCTCACCGCCCTTTTCTTCCTCTTCAATTCCACCCCATGGGCTGTAGGTTCATTTTCAACACCATTAGCTGATGATACAGGAGAATCGAGACCCATTAAGTAGGGCTGATTTTCTATCTCGTTCTTCTGTATCCTTTTCTTCTTTTTCTTTACGCTTCTAGAGAAAAGTGGATATAAAAAGAGTAAAAGAAACAAAGTTAGCTCAAATTTAGAGCTTTTTCCACACACAGCTGATGTGTTAGAGCAATTGTCTGCCTGTTCCCCTTGAGTACAATGCTGAAACAGCTACAAAAACTACTGTTGCACTGCAGAACAAAGACAGAAAAAAACACGAGGACAAAATATGTGACCACTTTACTACGATGCTTTTCACCATGTCACAGCACTGCCTTGAAAAGAACTGACCCTGATCTTAAAAATCAGCAAGTCTTGATAGACAGTCAACAGATGTAACAAAAAATACCAATTACAGTCTCCATTATCACAGAAGTCATTGCAATAGTCTTTTTATTTTTTCCTTTTTCTAAGTTTATGCATCAAAATTATTACAATTAAAGATAATTCATGGTTTACTATTGAACATTTTAAGGGAGACAGTCAGGTAAAGTGCAAAAGATTAGCTTTCCTATTTTAACTTTCCTGAACTAAGATACATTCATAAGATTAGTCAGTTACATGTCTATTCCTACTTGTTAGACTTCAGAAAATGACAAAGGTATCAGTCAAATTCATTCATTTTTCCCAGTTAGCTGCCTGAACAAGGGAATAAGACTGGTCTTGCAGATGATGCCAGGCAAAAGTTGTAACTTTAACTGTGTAATAGTTTAACTGTAATCTACAAAGGGCAGCTACTGTCTTCATCCAAAATCTGTACAGCACATTGCACAAACTAACACTGGTTTGTGTTCAGTTGGATGCTGTTGAAGCATGTAATTAAGCAGAAGAATCAAGACTACAGAATGCAACGGATGTTTCTAATTTCCCCAAAAACTCTGCTGCAAGGCCATTATACTTGGTGATATTGTACTAATGTAATACTTTTTATACTTCAAAACATTCATGTGTTGGCCTTGCTAATGGAATTATTATTATCTACCTATAAGGTTGATACATATTTTTAAAACTAAACTGTATGTTCACAAACATGTAAATTGCTGCAGCTCTAATACTATTCAGTATGTTAAGTAAGATTCAGGATGTTATGACCCTCTGCATTAGGATTCCTAGGACAAATTGAGAAGTATTGCTGCCTGAGAAAATCAGGATTCAAAATCATAATTAATCGTTAAACAAAATTTTCTACCAAATTGAGTGTTCAGCTGGATCTGATGTATAATCATTCTAAGATTATGGAGAGAGCACTACTTTGTGTAGCACAAGAGAATTGTAAAATGAGAATATATATAATGAGATAAAAGTCTGCACAGAGAAATGGCATATTTAAATGATGAAGCTATCCTGCAGATTTTCAGCATAAAACTAATCTAATTCTGAGAAGTAGTTTTCATCTTTTTACTATTTGAACAATCACATCAGGTGTGATAATGTAACAAATGCTTGAGATACTCCAATAAAAACCCTATTTCACTTGGTATCTATTATATGGAGCTTTCTGCTTCCTCTAGAGACTGCAGAAGACTGCAGAAGTTAGCCAAGGTTAACTGCTTGGCTAAGATAAAAAAAACACCTGTCACCTTGGAGAAAGTTTGTTTTCATATTGCAAAACTACCTTCCATTTGGAAATTCTGAAAGGTATGTTACCATTCAGTTCATTCTACAGCAGGTATTGTGGCCATACCATTTTAATAGGAAAAATGGCAAACCTCACCTGAAGGTTCAAATAAAGGTATAGTGAGTTGTGGAGGTGCTAAATTTCATTTCTCCATAGAGAAATTGTGTACCTAGTTATCACATCTCAACTGATTCCAGGGGTCCATCCTGAGACTGGTGCTCTTCAACATTTTATCAATGACCTTGACAGTGGGATTGAGTACAGCCTCAGCAAGTTTGCACACAGCACCAAGCTGAGTGGTAAAGTTGACAAAAAAGAAAGAAGGGATGGTCCCCAAAGGGACTTGGACAAGCTTGAGAAGCGGACTCACATGAACCTAGTGAGGTGTACAAGGCCAAGCACAAGATGATGCACTTGGATTGAGGAAATTCTGGGTGTATATGCAGACTGAGAGAAGAGCTCATTGAGAGCAGATCTACTAACAAGGACTTTGGGGTTCTGGTGGATGGAAAGCTGGACATGAGCCAGCAGTGTGCACTTTCAGCCTGGAAGGCAAACTGTAAACTGGGTTGCATCAAAAAATGAGTGGCCAGCAGGACAAGGGAGAGGTGACTGTCCTCTTCTATTCTGCCCCTGTGAGGCCCCACATGTAGTATCATGTTCAGGCTTGGAGCCCCCAGCATGAGATGTAGAGCTGTTGGAGATGGAACAGAGGAGGGCCACAAAGATGATAAGAGGGCTGCAGGATCTCTCCTATGAGCTGGGGTTGCTCACTACAGAAAAGAGAAGGCTGTGGGGAGACATTCCAGGACTTACAGGGTGCTCATAAACAGGACGGAGACTCACTTGTACACAGTCTGATAGGGACAGGAGAAGGGGGAATGGTTTTAAACTAAAAGAGGAAAGATTTAAGTTAGATGCTAGAAGGAAATTCTTAACTCAGAGGGTGTTGAGGCACCAAAACAGGTGGCTGAGTGAAGTTCCATCCCTGGAAGCATTCAACACCATGCTGGATGGAGCCCAGGGCAGCCTGATTTAGTGGCCATAAAAGTCACTCTACGATTCTATTGTTTAGCTACTACTTAATTCCTATTATATAATCACATGTGACAGTGATATTAAGTATATTATTCAGAAAATATGAAGAGAATGAAAACTTTCATATGGATCAAATATTTAAGTAGAGATTAGACTGGATCTCAAGTCATGTTGAAATAGCTTTTAGATGCTACAGTAACAAACTTTACCAGTTAACATTTATATTTACCATCTTAACATCATTTCCTTTACCATCTTAACATTTGCATATATGTCATTTTCTAGGGTACCTCAAATCACAACAAATGCAGTGTACAGGAAAAACTACAGCTCTGTTCTAATCCCTCTTCATCATGGTTTTAGGTACAAAGAAGTGAGACATTTAAAGAAAAATATGCAGCCACGTTTCAGAGATGTTTTGATATCTAGTGTGTACAGTATAAATAATGTATAAGCAGAAACATGAAACAGTTTTTCAAAGTGACTTAAGGTGCAAGAAGATCCTTGTCTCTTTCAGCTCTTAAAATAAGGCAAGAACTTACTTCTGAAAGAAAAACTTGGTATGTTACATTCTAGTTCACGGAAAAACTCGCAAAGTATGTACTTTCAAAGCAGCAATAACATAATGAAGTCTAGAATCTCTGGTCACAGGGAAGGAAAATACAACACTGTGTTACTTACTGCACTGTAGTTCTTCCTCTTCATGTTAACTTTCCCCTGATAAAGGATAACATCAAATACTATCTCATGGCATTTGTCACTGCCTCACTAACAATCAAGCATAAATGGCTTAGTACCCTGAGAACTTGCAAATAAGGCTTGCAATACTGCAAAATCAGACAGCAGTGACATGAAACATGACTTCATCTCCACGATTGCTTCAGTGCCTGAAAGTTCAGAAGGGTGTACATTCCAGTGACACAGGCATGCATGTGTCTTGTCTCTGTGCTCTGAAATGCAACTGAAGAGTTTGGTGGTTCTGTGTCTCCAAGATGACATTGCTGTGTGATCTATTCTCAGGGTTGACTTAGTTTTCATAAAAATTAATATTTAACATTTGACATGACTCAAAATTCATGAATTTTATTAAATCATTGTGATTTCACATTTTAAATCTGTGTCGCCCCAGTCTTCAATAGTTGCTTGAGAAAAAGCACTCAAAAGAATTGTTTGCTCTAGTTCCATTAATGCAGTTCAGTTTTATCAAATTTCTGATACCGATTTCTGACTGTGTCAACTGTCACAGTAACTGCACATTTAAGGCATTTCCTTCCTTAAGTCCTATGAGAATAGTTATGGTCAAAATTCAACTGTGAATTCTATAATTTTACAATGCATTTCTCATCAGAGATGGGTATTAAACTTTCTGCTCACAATTTATTTTCAAATCTAGCTACCGGTGGAGACATAAAAAACAATTTAGGAATTAAAAGTTAAAATTAGAGAGAAATATCCATCTATACTGTATATGCAAGTATCCTTTGTGGTGAACAAAATGGTGAGTGAGCCAATTTGGAAAATAATCAGTGAAGTAACTTCGCTTAGATGCAGATATCTGCAATGGCAAACCCAACAAGTACAAGTACATTTAGGTGTATTTTTCCAAGTATAAAGGCTTGCAATAGCTAAAAACATTGTGGAAGCTCTTGTTCAAAACATTGACATCTTACCTTCTTACAGCTTTCACACAAGAAATGCACAAAATTTTTAGGAAATGCAAGCAACATAATCTAAGTATTAGATTATGTCTTCTCAGAATGTGACCCTTTCCATTTTGTATTAATTTTCAGAATGCGCAAAAAGAATCTTCCGTTTGTATAAATAAAGCCTAACACACAGGTAAGGAATGCCACAGGACAAGGCTCTATCCTTTAGTTACGATTACCACATACATAACAGTATATAGTTTTCTGCACATGTATATATATAAACTGTTATTTCCTTCACATTTTAGGCATGAAGCACTCTTTTTGAATGAGTACCCTAGAGCCATTTTCTTGTTTTGCTAGCTAAGACAAAATAACCCTGCAGACATTTGTCACTGTTTCCTAGCAGATGTAACACTACAAATTATTTAAAATATTTCTTGCTTACTGTGTTGCAGGTGAGTCTCTATCTGTGTCATGCTCTGAGATGCACTTCAGGTCTCCTGACTTACTGATGACTGGTGACATCTGTAAAATTAAAAAAAAACAAAAAAACAAAACAAAAAAAAAGCAGGAAGGTAAAAAGAAGAAAGACAACAGGGACAACACATGTGCATTGAAAACCCACCAGCTTCCTGAATAAGGAGAGAATATACCTCATTTGAAAAAGAATGTCTATCAGCCATAAAATGTTAACTCCTATGTGGTTACAAACAAGGAAACAGTAGCCTGCTTAAAAAAAAGCGAAAGCTACTTGCAAATAAAAGACAGTTTACAAGTATATAAAACCCCAAAATTTAGAATCTGCTTTTAAGTTTACAATATATACAAGTCCGTAAAGAATTACAGTTATTTCTGCTACTGCATGGATAAAGATAGAATGCTATAAAGCCATCTCATTGTATGTTTTTAACAACACACCCGCCTTTTTAAAAACAAAACAAACCTTTAGGTAACTTCAGTTTACTAGAAAAGTCTAAGTAAACACTCCCATTACTAATGCAAGGTAGTTAGTGGCTCTCTATGCTACTCACTTACTGCAAGAATTCTCAAAAGGACACGGTGACTGCTCTTCCTGAGTTTAACATTTTCACAGAAAGATCATTTTCTCTGCCACCTTCTACACAAACTGTTCACAAATAGCTGGTAACTACCCATGTACTTTCACTTTCATGGAGGACACAACCCAATCCAACTGAGAGGCCTGATGTTCTCACTCAAAATTTGTTCTCTTGGAATATCGCCTGCACTACGCATCCAGCCATGACCTCCAGGCACACTGTAGGTTTAGATCTAATATCACAAATTCATTGATGAAAGACTGCTGTGGATGTGGACCTGTACTTTAGGCTGACGGGATTGCCACGTTCTGTAAGCATCCGTTTGGTACAGCATACATGAGAGAAAACCAGGAGTAACAACCAGGCAGGCCCTGAGAGAGTAGTTACGAAGATCTTGGAAACTGGACAGGAAGTTTATTTCAGAATAGTATAGCGCCTAAGGCATAGAAGAGAGGGTGAGATTAGATCTGGTACTTTCCAAAAAGCAGGATCTTTCACAGAGTAAAGAGAATGGTCTTGAAACTAACTTGGCCCACCATTACAGTTTTTTAGCTCAGCTTCAGATTCATAGCCTGCCTAAAGCAAAACCTAGTACATTGTTTCCGAATTTCTCAAATAGCTATGGTGTTAAAAAAAATCTGCCCACTCAGTTCTGCTAAGCACAGAAGTACTCATCTGCCTGTAAATAAGATCCTTAATATTCTGGTATCAGCCTGAATGGCTCCAGGAAAGAGTCAGTTAGTGACACGACCATCTCTGAAAGTGCAGCTAAAAATGAGTGAGCATCTTTCAACAGTTCTAAAGTGCCAGACAACAATACAAAATCAACAAGAATTTTCTGGAAGGGACAAAGAGGGGGGAAAAAAGAAAAAAGATAGCTCCTGACCGTCTAGTCTGCCAACTACTTATTTCATTTTGTGTGACCTCATATGCAAGGTATACCATGATCCATACCAGATCGAATGGAAACAGAAAACAATACATTGCTACACAGCAATTTTTTTAAAAAATAAGTGCATTAAAGTAAGCAATTTTTACAAAATCAGTATGTTTTAAGAAATCAATATGTTAAAACAGAATGAAAATACTGTTTTCAAACACAAAACTTATCCATCACAGATTTCAAAGCTCTAAAGAATAAAACTTAGCATTTCCCTGTCAAGTGCTATTGTCCAGGTTTTATTCTAATTAAGTGAATCTGGATTAGAATTATCTTCACATGCAAATACTGTACTAGAACCAGAATTTGCATTTTCCAAACCTCAGTTTCAGGCCATGAAGAGTTCAATTACTTTCTTAAAATTTAATTAATTGAAAAAAACAAAAACAAAACAACTATTTGATGCGAGTAATCGAATGATATTTGAACTTTTTTTTCTTCATTCAGCTCTCTGACATTATTTTGTAATATGGTATTATTTTACCGATGACTTAAAAGAAAAAGGACCAAGACCCCACTGAGTTACTGAATTCATATATGCATGCTGCCCACAACAACCAAGTTCAAACATTAGTCACTATAAATAGTCTGCTGAAACAACACAATTTTCTGGGTTAGTTTACATAAAAATCAGCATAAAGTAACACTGGGCTGAGAAAAAACCTGTTTCACACACAAAATCCTTGTTAATACAGTCATAAACTTCAGACTACGTCAATGATAAAAGTAAACTCAAAAGGAAGAAATGCCTCTGATATGAACATACAAGGGACTGCTAAAAAGGAAATGACTCTTAAATAACAAATCCTTCCTACAGCATTGGTAACTTTGAGCTCCTTGCCAAATACAATCACACATTCCCTTTGCCTGCTGTCAGAGCTAAATCTTTCCCTGAAAATCCTGTGTGAACAATGTTCAACATTTTTTTGGTTTTTTTACTATCCTTTGAGTGAATATAACTGAACTTCTATATTTTACTAATAATATAATCATGTATGGATTTTTCCAAAGCCCATTCCAGTAGCATTTCCTTAAATGTCACTACAGAAGACTGAAATATCTCACATTTTAAAATACTTTTCAGTACCAAAACACAGAAAATTATCCTTGGTTTACAGTTATGAGATTAAAGTACCCACTAAATTAAACAGCCTAACTGAAAGTTCCTATGATCTGTTGAAAAACTACTCGTTACATAGGTAGGCTTTTATATATTCAAGCACAGCATTTCAGCATGGGTACCAAGGAAAGAAAAGCATGCAATTGGACTACCTTGGAATAGCTGTGTTCAGCTCGCACAGTAATTAATGAGAATTCCTAGGGTATGTAGGGACAGACTCCCAGTTCTCCAGAGTACTGTCTGAATACGATAGCTTTCTTTCTTACCTCATTCCTACAAACTTTCAAGCATGTAATGAGGCAGGAACCACAGTGAAACAAGATCTTTTTGAAGCACATCTCACTGCCACTATCGTCTCTTCTTTCCTATCTCCCTTAGCCCAGTCCTTGACCTATTTTTCCTGTCTCAGTGATGTATGCAAGCAGCAGCAATACTGAAGGAACAAGAGAGATGGGGGCAGCTGCGAGAAGATGGTGCTACAAGAGGATGAAAACTGTGCAGTGAATGAGGCAAGGGAGTATTGAGGGACATGCAAGTATGTAGCTAAGGACGTTGTGATAATACTTAGATGCTGACAGTGCGCCAGGGGTACATGTAAACAGCAACAGAAGTCTACAGCACAGAGGGACTGATGAAACTGCTTATCTGCTCTTTCTAAACCTCTTGACCTCTTGTAATGTATGGGCAGATTTCACAGGAAACTCTGAACAACTCTCCACTATAGTCAGTGTACTGACAACACTGTACTATTAAGTACAGTTACAGATATGGTGTTAGCTATTAAAACCATTTACATTGCAGGATTACTAGCGTTGTGTTTGCTCAAAAGAAAATGTGTCAGATAATTAATGTGAATATCTCGAATTTCTCTGTTCAAAAGAACAAATATTGGACACAATATTACAAATTTTGTAGAGTACCACCACTGGTGCTCCATTTTGTTGCTATATTCTATTTCTCCACTCTTTGAAATATGCAATGAGCCAGAAAGGCAGGAGAATATCAGTTCATTCTGAAAGTCCTTTTACTATGCTTACTATCATAAAGACATATTGCAATAAAGTATTCACTTTCCTTTTCTAGAAGATGTGCATACTTTGCACTTCATTTGGGCTCAATTCTTACAAAAAAAAAAAAAAGAACAAAAAAAACCCCAACTAAATACACAATCACTTATTAATTACACAAGTCCTTCTCCCTGCTGCAGAATCCACAGCAGAAAGTCAGGCATTAAGTGCTCCCTGTGCTACTCATAGAACAAATCAGTTGCATCAGAACACGCTTCATAGGAAAACATGAAGCAGAAGGCTTCTAAAGGAGATACCTAGGACAACATCTCATAAGTCTAGGCCCTTGACAGTGCTTTCCACTAAGCTAAGGAGAGTTTTCCCTATAACCAATGGTCTGGAAAGGTCTCTGACAGACTAAGAGGCAGATGGACAGAATGGAATGGTTCAGGCAGTGTGAAATTATTTCCTTCTCTATTTAGGTGAGTGAAGGGATGGAAGTAAACGTGCTTGCTCTATAGCCTCCTCTGTACAAGCTAACACTCCCAGAGAAGCTATTTCTACAGAATCTAATCTAATAAAAGATTTATTGGATCACAAAGCGCAAAACAAACATTTATTTGTCTTTTGACACTAATCTTTAGAACACTAAACTCTCTTAGAATTAACTTTATATTTTCTATTACACAGTCTGTGGATGACAACATTTATACCAACATACTTTACATCCCCAGAACTACGTTGATGTCCCCTGTCAAAACTGCTCTAGTGAATCAAATTCAGGAGAAATGCTGTGACACCACGCTCCTAATTTTCCTTCCTCCTATACTGCACCTCTCCAAAGATGTCCCCATTAAATAAAAAACTGACAGGAGGCTTTGCTGGTGGAGTTACACAGATTTAAATTGATCTCTTCTCCTGAACTAAGTATTTGAAATTCCCCTGCAGGAATATTAGAGCAACAGGCTTTGCTTTATCTAATCTTTGAAAATGCAAAATCCTGGGCCTGCTTACAGCTACGAGAGACCAGCAGACTGAAGCTCTATGGTTTAGAACAGGTGTTTTCAGTCTTGAATTCTTGGCCTCTGGGAACTTATCTGTGGTTAAAGCTTTGCATTTAAATTTGCATAAAAATGGTTCAATCCCATTCAGAAAGAGGCTATGGGGACATAAGGAAAAACAATGGGGAAGAGAGAATTTAGCTTGCTCTTGAGAGCCATTTTAATAATATTAATGTCTATCGGGAGTATTTTCGATTCTGTTTCAGCTCAGTTTGATTCTTCCCATCTTCCTATCTTTAAGCAGACAGAAATCACTTACAGCAAATGACTATGGATGTGATACCATGAGATATCTACTTTTCCCAATAAATAAGCTTGCTTACAAACCAAATAACAGTA